CTCACTTTCTTTCTGCACCAGTGTTTTCCATCTCTGTTTCTCATATAAAGCCTCCAATGCATTTTCACTCCTACACACAGAAGAAAGTTCTCATCATAAGTTGAGACAACTAATTCTCATTTCAAGTTGCCACAGTCAAATAGCATTTCAAGTTTAACTAATCTCCACTATCCAAATATTTTACGATTGAATCTCAGCATATATAACCAAAACAGAAAACCCTAAAATTTTACTTGCCCCCAAGAAAACACAATGACACACTACAATACCTAAAAACAAATGGAAATAATCAAATGCAGTCAAAAAAAATAAAAGAAAAGAAAGGGAACTCCCATTTTATGTTGAGATTATCAATTCTCACATTATGTTACTGCAGTCAAATGGCATTACTAGCACAACGAATTTTCAATTTCCAAAGTGTTTTACAACTGAACATCATTATATATAGAGAGAGGAGAGATCCCCTTACACAAGTGTAAGTGTTACATATTTTGTTGAACATTGGATCAAAATAGCTAAGTATAAGTGTTATGGATTTAATTTTGATCTGAGGGTCAAAAAAGTGTGCAACATTTACACAAGTGTAATAGGATCCCTACTCTTTTATGTGTGTGTGTGTGTATATATAAAGTGACGTGCTGCATATTCAAATTTACAAAGGCAATGATCTAATTCCATTTGGTTGTTATTTTTGCTGCTCGCTTTTTGCTATTTGTATTTTTTTGGTTCCTAAGAAATTGTTATAACTTAAAAATAACTGACAGAAAACAAAATCATATAATTAATCAAAATTGAAGAAAAGACTAGAAATGTAACAACAATTCAATCATAATCTTTCTATTATCTATATTAAAATTCAAATAACCTACTTTGTTCTCCAATCGAAACATTCTTTTTTTTTAAGTTTTGAATTATTGAAAATATAGCTTGCTTTTTATCAAAATGATTTTTTTTCTTCCGGAAACAAAATTTAAAGCATAATTATATATATATATATATATAATATGAAAATCACTTCCGAAACAACTTCTATTCTAACAAGAAAAGAAAGAAATTTCTAATTGTAATTGAGATTATGAAAATTTTCACTTCTATGCTTACTACAATCCAAACAATTTCCAATGAATAATATACTGAGTGTGAAAATTGGGGGAAAAAGGTCAAAAAAGAAGTAACAGACTTGTTGATAGAATGAGTATCCAAGCGAGAGACGAAGCCAGCGTAGTCTTTATTTTCATCAACAAATTGGAGGTCGTCGTTGGAACTTCAATATCATTCTTGGTAATCGCCGGTGGGAGTTCCGGCGGCAGAATTATTGCTTCAGCTGCTTGCCCTTGCTCTTGCGTTTTGACCATCATGGACCTCCAACGACGCCGTACTATGAATTTTTTTGTTCTGAATTAGTACTACAAATTTTTTATAGGTCTACGGTTAAGGAGAGTTTATACTTTCTTGTTGGATTATTAAAGAAAAAAAATTAAGAAAATTAAGTTAGTGTTTGGTTTTAAAAATTAGAATATATTTTGTTTTATTTTTTAAAAAAATAAAAAAAATGGGTGAAAACATATTTATTAATTAAAAAAATTAGAAAAAAATTTAAATTTAAATATAAAAACAAAAAATTGTTTTTAATTGAGAAAGCAAAAATAAATAATTTTTTTTGTAAGTTATCATATTTGAATTTTTTTAATATCATTAATTAATAAATATATATTATATTTATACTTAGATATCTTTAATAGTAATATCATTGAATATTTTTTTATTTTTTTATTTTTGCATTTTAAAAAATAATTTTTTACTTACCAAATACATTTTTAAAAAATAAAAAATAGAAATTAAAAATTAATTTGTAAAAAATGAAATAAAAATAAAATCAAAAAACATTTTTTCAAACCAAACATTTATTGAAATTATACTTTTTTATAATTTAATTTTTTGGTTTAATTTAGGAAATGTAATTTTTGAATTTTTCTAAGATTTCTTTCGGTATAAAAAATAGAAAATAGGGAAATAAAATATCTTATCTTCTTAAATTTTTTTTAGATTCTCAAAAGAAAGTGAAGTTTTTACCTCATTTATCCTTATTTAATTACATTTTCAAATAATATTATCCTTTTTAACCTTTTAAAATTACAAAGCAAATGTAATTTTTATTATTTATAATTTCAGTAAATATTACATTTTTAAAATAAAAAAATATAGTAGTTGTTAAAACTACATTTTTGAAATTTTGAAATTTTAACAAAGACTACTTTTTTAAGATATTATGAAATTTTAACAAATACCATATTTTTAAAGTAAAAAATGTAATCGATGTTAAAATTATATTTTTAAATTTATAAAATTTTAATAAATACTATTTTTAAGATAAAAACATAGTAGATACTAAAACTATATTTTTAAAATTCTAAAATTTTAACAAATATTACATTTTTAAGATAAAAATATAATAGATATTAAAAAAAAAGATCACATTTTTAAAATAAAAAACGTAATAAATGTTGAAACCCATTGCCATCCCTAATCCCTTTACGCCTTCGATTACGGCTCACCTATCTAATTGAAAAATCAATCGAATAGACAAGTAGTTCAAATTAGGCTTTTTTTTTTTATATTAATATTCGAATTCAATATTTTCAATCATGAAATTAATGTTAGTATTATTAAATTAACAGCTTATTGATAGATTGATATTCTTTTGCCCATAGATCATTCACCGTTTGGCATTTTATTTCTTGGTTACTAATTTCCATGGTTTTTCTCATATCATTAAGGAGAAATTATTATTATACAATATTTTCTTATCACGTTAATATCGACCCATGAAATCAAATACAACGCATAATTAAAAATTATAGTGTAAGTATGTATGTACAAATCAAGACCTTAATAATAACTATCATGTCTTATAAATAAAAGAGTGATAATCAAATTCCATTCAATAAATTAGTAACTGAAATGCATGGAACTTTTATGCTTTCTCATTTTTTGAGAAAATTTGAAATTAATTTAAGTTCTAATCTTGAAATGCAACAGGTAAGTAGAGATGCATGAATAATGCCTAATTAAATTTTACAGTTAAATTTTTCTAATTGTAAAGCATACATAGAATATTTTTTACATAGAAAGTCACAATTTGAGAATAAAAGAAGATGTCGTAAGTTATGAGATTTGAACTCTATATTTATTAAATGTTACCTCTTAATTAAAGATGGCAACAAAATAAATTTATATACGAGTTTATATTTAATATATTGTAAATATATAATGTAGAGTTTACATTTAATACATTGTAAATATGTAATGTTATATATTATTAATGAACCATACAATAACACACATAGAAAAAATATATTTTAAATATATTTTAAAAATTAAGTATGTTTGTTTTTAGAATTTTAAAATTTTAAAATTAATTTTTTATGAAGTGTTATTATATGATTTATTGATAACAAGTAACATCTATGCACTATAATGCATAAAATATAAAACTCTTTATTGTATATATGGAATTAATTAATTGATAGGCCAACAAGAGGTGGTTTACCAAAAGAAAATACATGTAATGTTATGGAAACTAAACATTAAAAACTAAAATGAGAAGGTAGGTAGAACACTTTAAAGGCCATGATAAAATTAAATTCTCATTTATTATGAGTTAGGTATATTAATGAATTGCTCTATAAATGGCCTTTATTTAGCTTCATGCAGCAACCATAATAAAGCTCATCAAAATTTGACAAAGTGTAGGTGAATGCAGTTTTCAAATATTTATAGGACAACCATAATTTTTGTACATCACAATCCTTATCCTATTCCTTCCTATGAATCTGCCAAGAGTAAGTTGAGTTGAGATGGACAGAAATTAAACAGAGAAATTAAACTCAAATTAATGGATTATTCCTTTAATAGTCTCAGACTTTATAGCATTCCTGTTGAGCTTCTTTCCTTTTCTGTTGGATCAAAATCCTTAATAAAATTTATTTACGTATCGTGTGAATTTGATTTAATTTTATATTAAATTCATTTAGTTATATGTTAATTCATTAATTTATTTATTTATATTATTTAATTCAGTTATTTTTTATATGAATGAATGTAACATTTGATTATAATTATAATTTTTCTTTTTCTTTTAATTTCATTAAAAAAATAGAACAACCTTGTCAATACTACAACTTACAGGCAAGAACCATGTTTATTTTGTTGCAATATAATTAATTGCTTATATAATTTACCTGCATAAAAAACGAACATTAGTTAGGATTTGTTATTGTCTAAATTAAACGAGTAACATTATTAAAATTGAGATTGAAAAAAAGAAAAAATACTCTTTAAATGAAATTTAATGCTAATTGGTTCTCTCAGTAAATATTGGAAATTTCATTTTATTGCCTTCACAAAATATAAAAAATAATTTTTTCAAAGAGTATAATTATATAAGCTTTCTTCAAATATAGGAATCAAATCGTGATAACTTGGAATACAAAAAAAAGGAACTGGAAGGTTCATATAAAGTTAATTTAGGTTTCCTTAATATTGAAACTTGTTACAATTGTACTATGAATTGATATATATGGTGAGGAACAGGTACACCAACCTTGGCTCATTTCTAAGTTTATTCATTATCAATTAATTTTTCGAATGTAGAAAGCTCTAAAACTATAAACCTTAAACTATAAGGCCTTACAAACTTAGATTATTTTAAACATAATCCAAGGATACCATTAAATGGAAATTAAGAATCAATGAGTAATTTAAATTTTAAAGTAACTTGCATTGTAACATCTCAAAACTTAATTTAATTGATTTATACAGATACTCTTAAGAGATGACATTCAATAAATATGAAATTCAAATATCAAAATTTGTAATTCAATTCTCGTATGTTCAGGCGTAAGCTCTTGTACTAAAAAAAAAATTTACATTACCGGTTGATTGGAAAAAATATATATATATATATAATATAGAATAAAAATGGATTCAGAGAAGGAGATAAAAAAAGAAAATCTCTATTTGCTTTGCCGATAAACGACCAACCCAAACGTTTTTCTTTCTTTTTGGTCTTCATCACCATCCTTTTCCAATATACATATGCTCAAATTTTCCTAATTTATCTATCATATAAAAAATTATAAGCATTGGATATTAAAGCTAGAACAAATTATAATCTTCCCTCAAATTGATATATTGAGATCAATGCGAGGCTTCTTGGCAGTTGGCATTGGAACAAGGGTATTGCACCGTGGGCAACTAGGGCTATTTTTCATTATCAACACATAGGATAAGCATCCAGGGCAGCCTGCTGCCACCGGCGATACAAACAACTTCTCTTCACCTTCACCCTCTTGTGAATCTTTGATCGAAGATGATGACGAAGAATATGAAGGGGATAACGATGATTTCCAAAACGATTTTCGCTTTTTAATCGGCTCTTTCTCGGCCCTTTCAAGCGCGAATTTTACTTTATCTAGGGTGCACACACTCTGATAATTGGTAGAGGAGGATGATGAGACTAATTTCAATTCTAAACTGCTCTCATCGAAAAGTTTTAGCAAAGGTTTAGAAGGCGATGGCGGGAAATTTAAATCTTGAAGCTTTGGCACTGTTTGATTGATTTGGTGCTTAGTTCCATCCGATGATGATGAAGAATTTGATGAATTGCATCTTTGCAAATAAACCTTACCGGACTGCAATCATTAAAAATAAATGATTCATACATTAAATAACAAAAAAAATATATTAATATTTTATTTAAAATTGTCAGGATTTAATCTGAAGCTAAAAATTTAATGTTGTAAAATTAAGTAAATTTATAATAGGTTGCACTTGAAGAAAACAATCAGAATTTATTATTCAAATTGAGAGACCTAATAATAATAATAATTAATGAAAGTAAAGAAAAACAGGTGGCCTCAGAGCATTTAAGAGCATAATTGATTTTAACGTAAATAAATGCAAATTGTCATGTTATTAATTGCTCATTAAAATCTGTTTCCACAAGGAAAAAAAATGTTAAAAATCAGACTTTGATTAGAAATAAGTAAATGGCTTATTTCAGTTGGAGAAACTAATGAAGCAATCAAATTATATTGATTTCTGTAAAAATTAAAAGCTGGCCATTTTGCATTCAGGAGAAATAAAAGCTGATTTTAACTCTCCCAATTCGTTCTCCATTTTTTTCAGAAACCAAACAGAGGAATTTACAAAGAACAGAGAAACTCAAGACATTTCAATACTCCCATATCTGTTAAATTTTTAATTTTAATGAAATTCTACAAGGGTCAAATGCTAGAAAAACAAACTCAGGACATTACATTAAGTAAAACTATATTTAATTTCCAAAAAGCAAGCTAGTAGAAAAATCTTAAAAAAAAAAAAAAACGTATTCAAAGAAAAAATGAAGAAAATTGAAGAAAAAAAACTCTTGTAATAACTTTATAATCTATTAATATGTAGAATCTTAAAATAGTTAAGATCAAATAATAAAGAATTAAACATGATCAAATAACGTAAAAATTTGGTTAGGAAATTTTTTTCCAAATGAAAGAAACTTAGAATTTAGTTTGGCATGAAAGTGAAATCGCAGCAGTCAAATTGAAACAATAACTAAAAAAAATCAAGGAAATTATTTTCATTCCTCTGAGATGAGAAAATCAGCATACCTTCAAGTCCAGGCGCTTTTCCCATCCGTTAGGGACTTGAAGATCAAGGTCAAGTTCTTGGGATTGATCATTTTTCATATTCAAGGCGAACCCACCACCTCCAAGCAAGTCCCTAGTGATCAAAGCCGTTGATTTCGCTCCACCGGATTCGTTACCCACCGTTAGATCATCCTTGTACCCGCTCAAAACTCTATGCAAAGAGCTAACCTCGGCAGCCATAGCCAAAGCGCTTCTTCTTCTTTTGTCCTCCTTTCTTGAGAAAGGGAAAAACAGAAAGAGAGAGTTTACAGGGTTTTCTTTTACAATAAATATTGAGATGTGTGAGCCATTTAAAAGTGTTACAGCAAATATAATAGTTCCGTTATTAAATAAATAAAAAAAGAAAGGTGATAATTGGTGTTATTATTACTGAATTAAATTTCAATTTAAGAAAATAAAGCCATTGATTATCTCAAATAAAACCATTGATTGAATTTGTTCTAATTAATTGTTTTATTTATTTATTTATGGTAAGAAGGAAGAGTGAGAAAGCGAGAGCAATTCAAGGAAAAAGCGAAACATTAATTGCTTGGAAATACAAGTAGAGAACAGTTAGAATTTATATTTGCAATATTACCATCCCATTTTTTATTTTCTTTCTTTGCCCCACATTCGGTTTGTTTTTATTTATTTTGAATTTAATTTATTTTGTAGTATTTAATACGCATAACATTATTTGTTGTTTACTCCTTATATTATATATAGCATTAAATGGGGCTATATCATCAAGATCATTAAATGAAGTAGGTTTTGGTAGAAGTATGGGGTTTTAAAAAAGCATTGTTGACTTTTATTAAATTTTTAGGCATTTGCACCAATGAAGATTAGTTTACTTGATTTATATATTAATCTTTAATAAATAATATTATATAAGTTTAAAATTTAAATTTATTGATTCATATAATCATTTTTAAAAAATAATATCAATTATATTTAGAATTTAAATTCAACATCTAGAAGAATCATGTCACCTATAATTATTATAATGTAATTAATCAATCATAATTTAATATTACGTAAGATATATAAAAAAAATTATGTAGAGCTCACATTTTTAAGTGATAAAATCTTATATAATTTTTTTATTATAATTAATTGATTATAAGATTATAATAAAAAAAATTATAAGTGAAATACTCTCACATCTTAACTCATTTTTTTATTATAAGATTGCAATCTCTTTTATTAAAAAAAAAAAATTGAGGCATCAAGGCATTTGGTTGAAGGCAGATCAACAACCACCAATTTTTCAATTAAAATTCTACTTTAATATTTGTTGCTCTAAATCAACTTAGGACCATTTTCAAAGTAGTTATATGCACCCTTCATTTCCACCTTCTTTTATTTAGTTTTCAGTTATTGTCAATATATCCGATTAACCTTTTAAACCTTACCATGTAAAATAAATTATATATTATGTATCTTGCACCATCTAATGTTGTTAAACTTTTATTTAATTTTAAATTTTTTCGATTTTGATCTCAAAATTTTGTTAAATTTTAAAAGTGAATATATGTATTTAACCTAGATAGTCTATTAAAAAAATCAAGTTGAACTCTTCCTTCAGCCACGAAAGTATCTTTTAAAGAAAATAAAAATGAAATGATATTTATGTAAGATAAAACATTTTACCTCCTCTTAAAAAATTAAATTCTAAAACGTTTTATATGAAATGAATTAAACAAATTATTAGATGTGTAAGTAGAATTAGTGAATGGATGGATTTTAATATTACAAAATTTTAATTATTAGTAGTACCGAATGATTAATATATAGTATTGAATGATTAATATTACAAAATTTTAATTATTCATGTCATAATGTGCAAGTTCTATAACAACTTATTAGATATAAAGTTATTATAAATTTTTTTTATTTAAGTGTAATTGATTATCTAAATGAATCTACCATTTCTATGGAAATCTTAAATTTAATTAAAGATCTTTAAAAAAAATAGGTTCAGGTTTATATATCATAACTAGTTTAAAAATTCGGTTACATGTAGAGAATATTATAATACTTTTACAATGTCTGTCTTTGAACGGTATCAATTAATCTTAAATTATGTTATCTAAACTTTCATTAAAATAGTCATAACTTATTTTTATTATTGATTTTAATTTTGATATTTAAAAATTAAAAATAATTTTTGATTTTCTCCAACGTCTTGATCAAATCTCAAAAATTATTCATCAACTTAAGGGTATTTAAATAATACATCTATTTCCTTAAAAAAAGTTTGCCATTAGATTTATTAAATATTTTATATAAAAAAAAGTAGACATGCATGATATAATAAATATACAAAACTTACAACATTAAATAATCACAATTTTTTCAATAATTAACCATGAAAGAAATTAAACATATCACAATGTATTCATTAATCATTATTTTTATTTCAAATTAGAAATAAATAAAAATTCTTATATTGAGAATTTTTTTTAATTCTCAAATGTCTTGATCGAATTTAAAAAATTTTTCTCACCTAAATTTTTTTAAAAAAATTACATGTTCGTAACTTTTTTAGAATTTTTGATCAAATATTTATTAATTAATCAATTTATTATTTTTAAAGTCACATTACTTAATTTAATCACTAATTATTTTCATATATTTCACAAAATAAGCTAATATAAAAAAACACTTAAACATTAAAACAAATAAATAAATTAATCAAATATAAATAATCAAAATAAAATAAAATAATAAATAATCAAAATAAATAAAAAAAATAAAAAATAGAACTGAAAAGAATAAAAAAAAATGCAGAACAGTTTGGACTTAACTCGGGTAGGTCATCAAGTCTAGCCGGATAGGGCCGCAGGTTTGCAAAAAATAAAATAAAATAACTTAAACCCCATTGCAAAATTCAATGTTTTTTCAAAAAAATTTTCCTAAATCTAAACTTCAATTATCTTCTCTTTTTTCCCCAAATCTAAGTCTCTTTGAATCAAACCTAAAACTCAATCAACCCCACAATCTTTTCCCCAAAACTACCAAAAACCAAAATTGCCAGAGCATTTTTTTTTTTACTTTATTTCTTTTCTTTGTCGATTGTTGATTAATTGTTGATTCTTGCGCTTAATTTGGGTTCTTTGAACATGCCTTTTGTTCTAAGTCAATTACGATTTTAATTTCAAAGAGAATTCTTATAACTTTCTTTCATTCCGATTTAATCCCAAAATTCCAATCAAACACAACTTCTCGATTTTTCTCCTAATCTAGAATCTCTTACAAAATTAAAACCCAATTAACCTTTAAATACCCTATAAAACAAATATCCTAAATCAAAAAGAATTTGATTCCAAAAGAACTTTAAGAATTTCAATCCTGACTCACCATTTTGCAAATTTCAAATTTCATTGTTTCTTTTTTCTTTTTTTTTTTAAATTACTAAAATAAAAATCAATAAATAAAAATAAAATTACCAGAAATAATAAAAAGAATACAAAGTTAAACTCAATTAACTTCAATTAAGCTTCTAATGGGCAAGAACAAAACCTAGACAAATGAGGTGTCTATAATTTATATTTCAAAGTTTAAGTTTTTGTAATATTGATCATTCAATACTACTAAAATCAGGAAAAATATTTTTTTAATGAAAGTCATTAAATGTAATTAGAATTTTAATTTACAAATTACATAAATTATATTAATATTTATGATAAAAATATTTTAGTGATAGTCATTTGATGCAATTAAAATTCTTATTTATAAATTGGATAAAATTTATTAATAATTTACAATAAAATCATTTAAAATAAAAAAATTTTGAAATATGATGAGTAGAAAGGCCACTTTTCCTAGTACATCAATTATTTAAGCATTGACTTAAGTTGTGAACAAATTAATACTATTAATTATATATATTTTTCTTTTCATGCATATACAAATTTATTAAATATAAATTTAAAATTTAATTCAGTTGATTTATACAGTTACCTTTCAAAAGTTGCATCTAATATAGAGTTCAAATTTCAACATATGTAATCCCTTTGTCTATTCCCAAACTTTGACTTCCTGTTTAAAAAAGATTATTAAATTGGATTACAAAAAAAAGAAATTCCTTAAATAATTAAGGAATTGGTACAAATTACAAAATGAAGATGAAGGGGGGGGGGACTAAAAATAGCGAAATATTTCATAATGAGACATCTCAATTGTAATATAGAATTTAGACTTTCAACATAGAATTAAGTTTTTAAAAAATGAGATTAAATCATCCATTGAATTAAAGTTTGGATTGCATAGGATAAAGTGCATAAATCTAATGAATACTATAATAAATTTAAATTAAATTTTAAGAAATTGGAAAGCCTTTGTTTCTTTTTATAATTTAACGAGTTTCACATATATTCATTATAATCAATCCAGAAGTTTTTTAAGGTATTCACTTATAATTTATATAAAAAATTACTAACAAAATTTTTAATTATGTTGACAGAAAATATGTTTAGAGAAAATTTTGAGAAAATAAAAAAAAATTTTCAAAATTTTTATTTTTCAATATTTAAGAGTGTCCATAAATACTCTATCTTAAATGGTGGATCCGCCTTTGGTGTTCTTTGAGTTTAATCTGAAAAATGTTAAATAAAATTAAATTTGTGTTTTGAAATAATAAAAGAAGTGACATAATAAAAATGCTTTTTTTTTTCTTTTCCTTAATTAAAGTAATTTCCTTTTGCTACTCATTATTTGCAGATATAAAATCTGGGATATTACTTACTTCCACTCTCAAACTTGAATTTATGGCAAATAATTCAAAGTTACGAAATTCAAAGGCCAACCGCAATAAATACAATCTTTCGCAATAAATACAATCTTTATACATACATACATATATATGTACTTTTCCTTCATCTCTTTCTTTCTTTTTATTTTTTCCTTTCTTTCTTTACATTATAATTTCTTTTTTTGAGGCTTTTATATTATTATTTTTAAAGGAGCTTATAATAGACTTAATTTTATACGTATTTATGATATGTGCATGACCGATAGTGTAATAATTGAAAGTTGAAACAATAAATTTTCTCTTGATGAACAATTTTTTTTCTCTCCTGTTTCTTGAAATTATACTTCATTTGTTTCTAATGACTATTTTCATTTGTTAATCAAAGTTTATATTGGTTATTAGAGTATATAAATAATTCTATACCATGTTTGTGAATTACATTTTGTTGTTGTCTAATAAAAAAATTTATTAACAAATGCATTTTTTAATAAGATGGTAACATAACTGTTATTTACTAATAATTTATAAATTTATACATCAGCAATATTATATCAAATATAAATTTAATTGATCGTAAAAATAAAAATAAAATCAAA